TACCCACAATTTTTTTATTTATAAAAAAAATAAAGTTTTTAGCTTTTATATATATATAAAAAAAACGTGTGTAAATTTCGTTTGCATGTTTGAATTAATGAGTAATAATACATTTTTATAAATTTGGTTTTTATCGGGCTTAAATTTAATTTAATATAATGGATCATTATGGAAAAGTATAAAACCATTTTCACTGATTAACAATTGTGTTTTCATTGTTAGAAGCAAGACTTAAAAGACAGCCCTCGTATATAGTATATCAGCAAGAAATTTTATTTCAGAAGGAATATTAACATAAGATGTACACATTTTACTGGAAAGCTTTTGTTATATCTTGAATAAGTTTAAAATTTTTTTATTATAGAACTTTATTGTTTTATCTTTGAAAAATTCCTAAAGATGCTTTTCAAAATTAATTTTTAAAACATTTAATACAATGTATATAGCACTACAATATAAAAACTTTAAGGTGAATTCATCAAAGCGCTCTAATTAAGGTTCTCCAGTTTTTTATAATTCCACAGATAATATGAGTGGTAAATTATTGCCATGGTGCAGTTTTTCCAACAGCTATTGTCGTGTCTGTATATCAAATACAGAAGAGCAATATATTACTTTGTCACTGCTCATTACTCGCCTGAAGGTGCACATCTTTATTCAATATCCCTTCTTATAATATCGGTCTAATATAACTAGCATTGATATTAATGATATTGTCTGTTTAACTAAAGTGATAAAATAGTTCTTTCAAATTTTGAGGTATTTTACAAACAATTTCCTTAAATTAGTTAGCGTTCCCTTATTACCAAAAGTTTTACAATCAGTTCAATTTTAGGGACTAAGTGAGTTCATGGGCGTACGCAAGTATGATATGGTATACCAGCGACACCAACCTCCCCTGATTTCAACTCAGCATACCAGTGTCACCTCTAATTTCAGTTCTGTGTACGCCCATGAGTGAGTTAGTTTTCTTAACAGTCATTTGCAGTTAAAATTGAAATTATTTTCTTCTGCTCTTCTGATTAAGAATGGTGTACTCAAAGTTTTTTACTCTTAACACTTTGTGGATTCAGTTAATATTGGATTAAGCTATCCTATGAAAATGGAACTAATATGTACCAAGGTTCGTAATAATTACCACTTTAATGGAATGAATCTACATATCAAGTGGATTCAAAATTATTTGCTCTGAAATACTTAAGCGATATATATTGTTGTGATATGTTTAGTTACAGTTACAGTACATACTCAGAATATAATATTCATATTTAGCTGTAACTATAAGTAGTATAGTATAGTTCGTGCTACTTTAGTAACATACGTTTACTTTTTTCCTGCAAAATCTGAAGTGTTGATCTGTTGAGAACCGAATTGGTTGGTATAGAAACACTATCACAGAATATAATGCTAAAAATTCAAGATTTTTTTAGCCAATAATACTGCAGATACAAATTTTTTCAATTTTGAAAACCATTACAGAAATTTTTTGATCACCAGAACTAACATAAAAATTTTATGAAGACTGCTTGAAGTTTAATGAGATATTGAGTGTTGCAAAAAAGAGATTATTTATTATTATTATAAAAAATAACATATATATTGGAAAGATAATATCTACATAATGATATAATAAATATTTTCATGACAACTAATATATAAGACTTATGACATAGTTGTAGCAATTTGCCATTCATTATATCTCGCACATAAAGTATCTAATTTTTAATTTAAATTTATCTTATTAGTGTTTAAATTATTTAAATTTTTATTAATTTGTTATAAAATTTCCTAAAACGACAATAAAGACTATCAAGCGAAACAAATTATTAATATAATTTCAAGTGAACTTGAAATTATATATTTTATTAATATTATGTATTTATTCAAACCGTTGACGTTATATGCTCGTAAAAACTGATAATAGTAGCGCTTTAAATATTACTCATACGTAGCGTTTAACAAATTGTTTTATGACCGATTTAGCGCTTCAGTATATATATATATATATATATATATATATATATATATATATGTACATTTTTAAAACTTTTATAACTCTTAAATGTTTTTGTATGTGGGTGGATTTTTGATAAGTTGTTTTAAACAATAATATATTTTAAAAGTTTTTATTTAATTCAACATTCGTTTTATTATACATTGTTTTTTTTTGGAATAAAGTTGTTTAATTTCAGTTGTATTTTATTTACTTGGTTTATAAATCTTAAAATAATATGAAGAAAAAATTTTTTTATGTCTTAATATATTTAAATACTAATTATAAATGTCTCAACTGCAAAAAAAAATTTAATTATAAATTATTCTAATAAGGACTATCATACTATATAATGAATAATCTTAAAATGTGTATTTCTCAAATTGAAATTCATATCAGTAAAAGATGTCCACGATTTAATCTAGATTGACGTTACAAAAGACGGGTCTTACCCACAAAATCGGATAGTTAATTTGCCATTGCAGCACTAAGTTTGTACGAATTTACTTATAAATTAATATGGGAATATTTATTGAAATCAATTTAGAGGCCATAGTTAGGGTTCTAGTCATTGCTGAGTTCATGGGTTTGCCAGTAAAAGAGACTTCATTGCAATGATAGTACTTGGATCATATTACAGATATTGATGAATTATGAAAGACAAAGGTGGGTAGGTAGTTTGTACGGTCGATGGGTCCATTATGGTTCATTATGTTATCGTATATAGAAAAATTTAGAGGTTTAGAACCACTTAGAAACTTTGGTAAAGCTTATAATGCTATTTGAGGGGAGGTCTTAAAGTTGAACAAAATCTTCAAAAAAGAAAGGCGGTGCCGGGCATGTGCCGGAAAAAAACAAAGCAGATGGGAAACACTTTCATCATCCTCTGCGGCAGGTGTGATTGAAAGTGAGATTCAAAGTTCTAGAATGATACCACAAGACTGATAGCTCTACAGGCCATCTCAATGAAAGAGTTGGATTTCCTTTTATTGTAACGTGGTCAAATTGTATACAGATGCGTGCATATCATTAAGTTTTCCCTATATAGTTAAGTGGTGGGAATTATTTGCAAGCCATATAGGTTTAAAATAAACTGAATTGCATTAAGGCAACCATAACTGCAAACCATTTAAATTATGTGTTCAAGTAGAGATTATATTATAATCCAATATTTATTGGGCTATTAACTGGCCACTGTAAACTCAAAAGATATCTTAGCAACGAAGATATTGCCTCCAATCTCATTTATACATTCAGCTATAAAGAAACTGAGTTGCCGCATACATACTAGGGAAATGTGATGTACTGATCTATGCATATAGCCGGAGTGTAGATCTTAAGCGCTATTCTGATCTTAATTATAATTATTTAGTGGTGAAAATAATATTCTGATATTAATTATATTTATTTAGTGGTGAAAATAATATAAACATATTACAAGGGTTAAATATGTAAATTATAGCAAAAGATGTGCTACATTGTACAGTTTCAAAGTTGCATTCGTTTAGAATGTGTATATAGAAGCTGAGTTAGTCGGAGAAGAAAATTGAACTGAAGTGTGAGCATACTTTTTTATACATAATCCAAAAAATATTGATAAGTACTTCTTTAAAACTGACTTGTGGTAAATATGCCTGACAACATTTGCCACCCACTAATAATAATTGTTGGAAATAATTGTTATTTATATATATATATATGCATTAAATAAGTATATATAAATATATATGTATATATAAAGATGTTTTTTATATATATAAAATTATTATTACATATAATATAAAATTAATTTATATTATCTATAGCCTTCTGATAAATTTTTTAAATTTATTTATAGGGAATAAATTAAATAAATAAAATTCTTGTTAAATAGAAATTAAACAAGAGGTTAATGAAGGTCTACTTTTATGTTTATTAATATTTATTTTTATACTTTTCTTAGAAAAAACGTAAAATATAACAACTATCTTATATATAATAATAATAATTATTAATTAAACACCAGATAAATAGCAAATTGAATATATAAATATATAAATAGCATTTTCCTTTGAAAAATTTTTATAATACAAAAAATATATTTTAATGTATATATACTTATATATACATATATAATACTGAAAATATAAAAAAAATATAAATATGAAAATATAAAAAATAATGATAAGAAATTTATTTAAAATTCATTTTATTTATTTTATAAGATTTTTAGTGTTATAACTGCAGTGCCGTAGAACATGCCGTACATTAGATTCCTAGTGGGAGTTTTGATTTTGAGCCTATTAGGCTGCAAGCAGAAAATAGAGGCCAAAACCTATATGCGTTGTGAACTAGCCAAAGATTTGATTTTGAAGTACCAAATAAGCAAAACTTTTGTATCAAATTGTACGTTAACACACATTCATAATAGTTCTTTTATATATAACAAAATAAAATCATATGTATTTAGGGATCTGCCTTGTGGAACACGAAAGCAGATACGATACATCAGCTATCACAGCTGAACCCAATGAAACTAAGAATTATGGTATATTTCAAATAAATAGTAAAAACTATTGTCGCACAGGACGTAGAGGTGGCCGTTGCAATAAAAAATGTGAAGGTAAATGATATATATAATTTAATATATACTATTATTATACATAAAACATAAATTTACTATTTTTTATTTTTAATTTTTGCAAGACTTTACTGATGATATTATCGATGATGATATGGAGTGTGCGAAAACCATATTTGACAATGAGGGTTTTAAATATTGGAGAGGATGGAGAACTTCATGTCGTAATACACAGAATTTACCGAATCTAAATTTAGCGTGTAATATAGACAAAATATCAAGGTACCAATTTTATGCAAAAAAGTAAATTATATACCATATTTAAAACATTATTTTAGTAAATTTATTTTTATTTATTAGTTTAATCTAACAAAATTTTTGAACTTATATATAGCTTATATAGTTTAAGTATTGCTTTCTGTTTTAATATATATTTAGATTGTTTGTTTTATTTTATATACAATATAAATAATTTAACACATTCAGTCAAATAATATTAATTAACAATATTTGTTAAAATTATTTGTAGAGCAATATTATTCGGTTAAAGGATTCATATATTTTTCAAAACATGGAGCTGTCAACTCTCACATTACAATGTTTTAATTGTAAAAAATTGGAATTAAATTATTTTAAAATTTCATTAATCTATGTAAATAGTTTTGTTTTCACACTTAACATATTTAAGTTAATTTAATGCACTTAATTATTTATAACTAAATGGTTTTGAAAGTCGAGATATGTAACTAAATGTAAATATTTTATTTAAAAAATATATTCACTAAAAATTTATTTTTTACTTTTTTCTTTTTTGTATAGTTTTTGGCTATTTAGTAAAATTAACACATATATACCTATTTCTAGGCGTTCATTTTGTTTGTTCAGTTTTTATTTTTGTTTAATAGATCACAATATGATCATAATATATTTAATATCCAGTATTGTATTTGTTATTTTCGTTATATCCATTATTATTGCACAGATAATATTGTAATAGTTTTCACAAAAACCAAAATATAGTACTAGTATATTATATTAATCCTATATTAACCCAGTACATAACTGTAAAATAATATTTTATGTCTTGTCTTGTTTGATTGTTTGGTTCAAGTGGTGACCCAATTTGTGCTTAGAGCCTTCGCACTGATTTCAGTTGCGTCCTCACTATCAAGCGTTTAATTGGTTGTTTATGTCATTAGAATAGTTAAACCCAATATACCTACACAGTTTAAGAACCTCGACAGTTCAACAGACATTGTTTAGAGTCTGAATGGTAGTAAGTGAGATTCACTTGCGACACCCGACCAGAGGTGTAAATCTGGTACTTCGGGGGTTAGTACCTACAGCTTCAGCTTTCCTGATCAATTGAGGTTGGCTGTGTCGTGGTGACTGGGGTTAATACCCAAACTTACGCGGAAAGAATGATTGCATTTTACCTTCATTCAGTGAGGAGTTGCATATTCACACCGGGTGCTGTGACAGTGGTTAATACCAGAACTTAGACGGCAAGAATGATTGTATTTTACTTTTATTTAGCGAGGCGTTACGTATTCACACCGGGTACTGTGACCTGACGATCCGCGTAGGTTAAGTGGGCCTCGCTAGTTACCAAGGCGGAAGTTATACCAAACACATAACTTCAATTGATGCCGGTGGCAATTGTTTGAATTTTTCAATGGGGCGTTTATCGCATTATCTTGATATGTGTGTTTTCAGAACATCGTGGTGTTGAGCCTTTAAGGCAGGTAACAACGTTAAACAACTCTAGATTCTGTCAATCTAATGGCATCCCTTTTATTTCTGCTTAACAGTATAATATTCGCTTAAGATTGTATTTAGGTCATTTAATTGTACTCGTCTTACAATTTGCAAGACTCTTCCAACTTCGTTAGGTTCGATTTTCGTTAGGTTCAGTGATATAAAAACAGGTTTCGTGAAAACTTCTCGTGTGACAGTTGAATTTTTGATAGCTCTTCAATTTTTTTTATTTCTCTCAATATTTTGATGACCGAGTACCCAGATAAGAGAAACATTATGTTTAAAAAGTAAAACTGTGTTAAAACAGTTTTGGGTTGGGTTGGATCAATTATGATAGTATAAATGAAATAGAACCATTTTACAATTTAGATAATAATAAAGAAGTGAGGATATCCTCCTTTTATAATACGATGTAGAGTTTCGACTTTAAGATCAATTGTGCCTTATAAGTAGTAAAAACATATAGATTTTTTCCCTACCGTAGTAAAATCTTTTCAAGTTGAACTTCAAAAAACAATTTTATTGTAATTATTTAATATTTTAAACTAAAAATTTAAATATTGGTTTTAGATATTTCTCATCATCATCATTTTGGCATCACAGTCCAGGATGGGCCTTTGCCTCCTCTACAATACGCCTCCATTCTTCTCTGCATTTCGCTTTCTTTCTGTTTTGTGTTATTCTCATCGTTCGTATGTCGTCTTCTACATCTTGTAACCATCTTTATCGCAGTCGTCCTCTTTTTCTACTCCCCTCTAGCTTTGTCTCGAAAATTTTCTTAGTCATTCTTTTGTTACTCATTCGTAGGATGTGTCCATATCAGCTCAATCTTTGGGCTTTTATATATCGTGTTATAGTTTAGCCTTCGTTCAAGACATTCAATTCGTCGTTATACCGTATACGATATATGCCGTCTTCTATGCACACTAGGCCAAATATTTTCCTGAATATTTTTCTTTCAAATCTCAGGAGCAGTTATTTGTCGCTGGATTTAAGGACCCATGTTTAGCAGCCGTAGGTAAGAACCGGTCTAATGACAGTTTTATATATGCGCAACTTTTGTTCCTTTGATAGTAAAGTTGATTTCATGAGCTTGATATGGGCAAAATATGCTCTGTTAGCTGTTTGAATACGATCTTGTATTGCAAGAGTCGCATCTTTACTTGTGCTGAGAACTACGCCTAGATATTTAAACTCATTCATGGACTCGAAATTGTGACTGCCTATTCTGATGTGACTATCTTGGGGAAATCTTGTCATGTATTTAGTTTTTTCTTCGTTTATTTTGAGGCCTGTTTGCTTTGTAGTTTGTTCTAGTTGTATGAAAACGCTTTGAAGATATTCTTTCTTTCTTGCAATAATGACGATATCGTCAGCATAGGCGCATATTTGTGTAGATTTATAAAATATTGTACCACCTTGATCTATTTAGATTTTTCCATTTTTATATAAATTCAGCTATTAAAAAAAACAATAACGAAGAAAATCAAAAAATTCATTTTGTGAGTTTACCACAGGGATTATAGAAGAATATCTATAATTTTTAAACTATTTTATAATTATAATCCATACCACTAATATGCGACGAAATGCAAACCAGTTAAAAGAAAACTATAGGAACACTTAATTGGACTTTGAAGCAAATAAGACCTGTGACCTGGAATAAAGAAACATTGGATGAATTACCCAAGAACGAATATGTTCCTATATAAAGCAAAGTGAACACAAAGAGAAATCTGCGATAAAAATAGAAGATGTATATATTAAATGATAAAAGATATTAATATATTAAGAGTAGGGTGAATATCTTCTAAGTGTATACTTTGCATTTAGGACTGTTTAGAAAAAAGCACGAATTCATTAATTGAAATTTTGAAAACATAGCAATTGTTTCAAATTTATTGATATATATATACATATTTAAATATATATATACTTATATATATATTATATTTATTATTACTTATTTCCTACTATTGAATAACAAATACAATTAGTTATCACATTACAATATATAATAGTAAAACAACTATAATTTGAAAATAGATTTATTTAGCTTTAAATACTCATTTTTATCTTTGATTCTTATCTGCAATATATAAATTCTTTCACGTTTTGTTTTCTATAACATATGTGTGTCTAGTTTTATCATTTTTTTTGTTCAAAACCATAATTTACCTAAGAATTGCGATTCACCTACTCTCTTTCTTCTACAATACCTATCAAAGCAATGCAATCTGTGAACTACATTTTGTGTAGGAGTTGTTCGAAAAAGTCTCATACATACCACAGAAGGTAATATTTAAAGCAAAACAAACAGTATAAATAATAAATAATAATAAAAAAATAACAACTGAAAAAACTAAAGCATAAAAAACAAAAATAAAAATAAATAAAATATTTTTAACAAACAAAGAGCGGTAAAAGCGTCACTTTGAAGAGTCAAAATCGAGGCAAGCCTCAGTCAGACACAGTAAACTGAAGCAGCAGTTAAAGATACTTTTGGCAAGAAATACGTTTTGCGGCATTTTTGTGCCGAAATGAGTATCTGAGTATCTGAGTGTGCACCAGAATCACCACAGCAATAAAGATGATAGCGACGATGATGACGGTAACTGCGGTCGGTAATGGCACAGGTAACTGACAAACGCTTTCGTCGCACAGATGGCACCGCAAAGATATAATAATTTTGCCAATTTAAATGCTCGCAGTTTAATGCTCAAATGGTATCGGCAAAATAATTTGAAGAGGAAGTGCTAAAGGGATGATGATGTTGTTAAAAAATTTTTTAAATTGAAAAAGAAATATGTAAGAATTTATTATATTTTTTCACAATTATACTTTAATACATTTTTCTTAACCAAGTTTAACGGTTGCTTTAAGTTACTATACATAAATCTAAAATTTAAGATGAAATTGTTGTTTTCCACTTATTTTTCAAAAACATATTTTGTATTACACTGTGTATAATCGTATATGTAAACGATTACGTATCATGTATACGCTATCTCTAGGCCTTTTCTTTTGTAAGCATATCACAAAAGAACAACCGCTTATTTTAAAAAAACATACGAAACAACAACACTACTGGCTGATTTAGTCCAACCTTTTTGAAATCGCTTAACTAATAAGCAGCTCGAATCGCATGTTTGTCAAAACTAAAAATTCGTCTATTGTGAGCGACTTTTGGAAGTATCTACGAAATTTGAATATATATAAAATATAGAAAGTATTTATTTTTGTTAAAATTTACTTTATAGTATTTTGTATTCTAAGAACTAGTCAGTTACTTCAACTAAGACGGAACCTGCTCAGCACCACGGTATCTGTGCTGACGGGACACTGTGTAATAGAAGGGCAAGCTATTAGACTGGGTCTTCTCTTTAATGACTTTTGTCGAGGTTGTGGCTCTGAGGATGAGAAGGAAACCGTGCTCCATCTCATGTGTCAGTGTCCTTCCTTAGCTAGAAGAAGATTAAATATCTTAGGATCCCCTTTTTTCACCGATCTGACTGATCTGTCAT